AGCAAGAGGGACTGAGGAACAGAAGAAGCAAGCTCATGATGGCTGGACTTCCTCCAAGGTATCCAAGGTATGCTGGAAACGTGGGGTTTGCTTCAACATGATGAGGATGAAGAGGATGGACATGCAATGTGGAAATACGGGAACTGGCACCTCTCCCTGAGAGTGCTCCGAAGATTGCCTTGGGATGCCCTCCACCCAAGTGCTTGGTGACTCACCTGCCATTCCCCGACTCTTCTGCATTCCACTCTAAGGCCAGAGGAAGGGAAGGGGAATGCGGACTGATGTGACTTCCCACATGCAGGGGGGCACCCCGTTTGGGCTCCTGCCACTCTCAGTGGCAGAAATGGGGAATTCTGGGTCCCCCAATCCATGTGCAAGACAGGGATGCTGGGTAGTAAATCACTGAGGAGTCCCGCAGGACGTCTTCTCGATGGAGTCAGCACTGAGTGTCTTTTGGACTCCCACTGGGCCCTAGAGCTGTGGCAGAGACTGCCACTGATGCCCTCAAACTTCCTTGGTCTAGAATCCACCATTTCCTATTGGCGCTCGAAGCAGGGAGGGCAGCTTAGGGCCCATCCAAAGGACACTGGAAGGTTTGATACCTTTCCCTTTTATTAATATGTGTGCAATACACAACCCCCAAATAGAAGTAAACTCATTCTTATTTGTCAAACCTTTTTTCACTGTACTTCCACATGTTAATGTATCATTAACAGCTATATTCCAGATACAATTAGCTTATTTGGAAAACCCATTTCTCCTAATTCTTTGCTATTATTAATCTTGCTGCAGTTACTAAATTTGATATTATTTGATATTCTATTTCCATTTCTTTTCATAAAATATTGACGCATAAATGATGCAATTTTAGGGTCTGCTTCAATTTTTGAATTCAATATCTTAAAGTTTTGCTTAAAAACCATTATCCAAAATTTCCTGATATTGGAGGACCAATAAATACCTTTCTAGGCATTCTAGGACATTGTGCTAAATGATGAGAACAAAATATT